CCAATCAGTGTATCTCTCTCACATAGATGTTTCTCTCTCTCTCCCTCCCTCTCTTCTACTCTATCTGAAGATAAATAGAAAAATATCCTGGGGTGAGGCTTTAAAAAAAGAAAATAAATGGTCAAAGCATTTGCCTGGGTGTGGGGTGGGGTTAAGGCCTGAAGGTTGGGGCTGGGGGGAGGGGTGTTCCAGCTCACCACACTGCCTCTTGCAACCTTTTACATTCACTATTGTGGACAAATGTGACTGGTCAAAAGAACAAAGATGCGCCCTGGCCGGTTTGGCTCAGCGGTTAGAGCATCCACCTGAGGTCCGGAGAGACCCGGGTTCGGTTCCCGCTAAGGGCATGTACCTCGGTTGCAGTTTGTCCCCGGCCCTGGTTGGTCGTGCGGGTGGCAGCCACTCGATGTGTCCCTTTCACGTCGATGTTTCCTTCTCTCTCTCTCTTCCTCTCTCTCCCTCCCACTCTATCTGTGCAAAAAATGGAAAAATGTCCTCGGGTGAGGATTAAAAAAAAAAAAAAAAAGAACAAAGATGGATTTAAAACTAAAGACAAAATAAAACAACACCAGAAAAATATAGAAGGGCTAGAAAGGGCAGCCTTCAAAAAGGATGTCAAGGAAAACACCTTCACTATTGATGGGAAGCGGATCAAGGTCTGCTTTGGGCTGTCTACCTAGCCCCCTTGCTGCAAGGCACTGTACAACTTCAGTGAAATCAGTATTCTCTATGAGAAAGCTACCCCCCAAATGAAAGAACACTGCTTTTCCCCCCTCAAAATACATTTTTGGATGTTTTCTCTTAAATACACCACCATCCCAGAGACAAAAAGTTGACAACTGCTGGAATGACAGCATGGGCAGTCTGCAGAAGAGCTCACAGACCTGAGGACTACTCAGGCGCATAGCCCATGGCTGCCCCACTCCCATCCTTCCAAACACCACTTCCTCCCTCCCTGTGTCATGATTGTTCCTGCTCTTGGGCCTCCACCTAGGTCATTTTCCCCAGATGTCTAATGGCTCTGACTGCACTCCCTCCCTCACCTGAAAACCTCACCTGCCAGTGCCCTCAAGTGGTGGCAATGACACTGTGTTGCCCCACAGTGGGAACTGTAGGGTCAGGGAGACCAGAGCTCCAGGGGCAGAACTTAGATACAAACAAGGGCCTGTTTGCTCTAGAAGCTAGAACCCACGCACTAAGCCTTTATCCTGTTTGCCCTAGAACCCACACACTAAACCTCATCTGTGAGCATCCTATATTGAGAAGCAGCCCTGCTTTACTTCCTTCTAGCACTTACCACTATACCTGATCGTCTCCATCTACTTATTTGGTGTTTTTGTCTTATACTTCCTAGAATTTAAGTAAGTTCCAGGAGAACAGGGGTTTTGTTTTTTTCCTTCTAATGGTCAGTAGTAGATGATGAGCAAAATATTGATGGAATGAATGACTGAATATGAGTAATGTGTAATTTTACCTGCAAAGTGAGTAATAAAAATACTCTTTTAGATGTCTAAAATTTAAAAACTGACTGTAGCCCTGGATGGCATGGCTCAGTGGTTACAGCTTCAGCCTGTGCACCAGATAGTCACAGGTTCGATTCCCAGTAACAGCATGTACCTAGGTTGCAGATTCGATCCCTGGCCCTGGTCAGGGTGTGTGCAGAGGTAACCAATCAATGTGTCTCTCTCACATTAATGTTTCTCTCTCTCCCTCCCTCCATCCATCCCATTCTATCTAAAAATCAATGGAAAAATATCCTTGGGTGAGGATTAACAAAAAATAAAAAAGTTTAAATGTGTGTGTGTGTGTGTATATATATATATAGAGAGAGAGAGAGAGAGAGAGATTTTATAGCCTCATAGGAACTAAAAGGCCAGAACTAGGTTCTTTCCAGTAACCTACATGGTATATCAAGTTTTATTGTGTTGTCTGTCGAAGCTGAGCCTGAAGTTTGTCTTCGTATTTCAAAAAGGGAGATTTATAAGTGCTAAGGTGGTGTTGACAGCAAACTCTCTAACTTGTAACTGTAATTAGAAGGGCTGAAAGTGTAAAGGAGTAGCAGGTAAGCCTGTTATTACCCTGCCAACTCTCACCAGCAATACCACAATGGTATGCGTCCTGTGGGAGACACTGTTTGCAGAGAAAGTCTTTATGTCAGTGTCTTACAAACAAGAGGAGTTGGCTTGGGAGTGAAGGCCTAGCAGTGGTCTGAACAGCACTTAGACCCTAGGATGTCCCATCTTAGTAATTTCACCAAATACCTGTGGAATCAGGAAAAGAGGGTAAGAAACAACCCTTTGTTAAGTTGCTCCTCTGTACTAAGCACACTATTGCTATAAACACTTTATTTAATCTTGCCAACAACCCTACAAGACCGGCATTATGATTTTTTAAATTATGAGTCAACTTAGGTCCAGACTAGTGTCAGATGACCTTTGCAAAGGCTCTAGGAATCCCAGGGCTCACTGGTCATCAAGCCCACATTGGCCTGACTTCTCACGTGCTGCTTCCAAAGGAGGAGTGATAAAAAGGTAAGAAAGCCACTGTCTTCCTTTTCGTCTCCGTGAGAAACTGCCCCTGGATTCGTTCATTTGTTCAAGTACTCTCCTGTATCTACATCAACAACTCAGAACACCTGGACTGGACGCCCTCAAGACTGAGTTGGGGCCCAGGTGGTTTCGAGTAGAACCCGCCTTTAAGTGGAGCCGCGCCTACCTGGGCCCAACCCTGACCCGACTGCAGCAAGGCCTCCCTGAGCCTGTTTCCTTACCTTTAACCAAAGATTCGGACAACAAACCCCATGTTAAAGAACTGCAGGAGGGTTCTATGAAGAGAATTAACTGCAGCGCCTGCTCTTTCCAGACACCTGGTTAAACGCGGACCCATCACCACCTCCCCGAACTCCCACAACAAGCCTCGGGATAGGGAGTCCATCCCCTCCAGGGAAGAGGCGGAGAGAATTCTAAGAGCCCGGCCCAGGACCCGGTGCCCGGCCAGCATTCGGGAAACTTGCCCAAGAAAGGCCCGCGCTTCCCACATCCCTGAGCCGCCCGGCGGCACCTGCCGCCTGCCTCTCACCCGCAGCCCCACAGCGGTTCCCGCTTCAGCTTCGGCTCCTGGCACAGCCACTGGCAACCCCTACTTCCGGGTCCGGCAGCTGCTGGCGTCCTCGCGTCTGCCATCCGGCAGTCGCACGTCTCCCTCCACGGGTTCCGCAGTTTGCGCGTTCCGCCTGCGTGGCCCCGAGGATCCTTGAACGCGCAATCTACCGGTAGTCCCTATTCTTCCCTGCCGCGAGGAGGCAATAATGACAATGATCATTACAATGATTATAAAAAAAACTGGATAAGCATGAAAACATATATAGTTAATAATTACAATAATTAAAACTACAGATGTGTATAGCAGACTTTTCTGGATACTATAACATTTGTGGAATGAATGAACTGAGTAAAATATATCTGGAAATTGAATCAGAAAATAAAAGTAATTTGTTTTAGAACATTAGGTTTATGGAAAAATTAAAATGACTTTCATGACCATATTTTAATATAGTTTATATTACAGGATACAAACATTTCCTTTTGGCCATATAGACACTTATCCCAACTTGCTTTTTTTTTTTTTTTTTTTTTTTAAGAAGCGAATGGCTTTTTAAAAATCTTTATTCTTGTAAGTATTACAGATGTCCCCACATTTTTCCCCATTGACGCCCCTCCTCCCTGCACCTACCCTCTCCTGCCTTCCCCACACTATTGTCTGTGTCTATTGGTTATGCATATATGCATATAAGTTCTTTGGTTTATCTCTTCCCACCCCCAATCACCCTTCCCTCTGAGGTTTGTCCATCTGTTCCCTCCCTACTTCCATGTCTCTGGATCTATTTTGATCACCCAATTTGCTTTTTTAAAATTTGAATACTAGCCTTGACAGATGCTCTGGGAAACTGCTATGGTCAAACTAAGGTTGGGAAATGCCAAAAATTAAGTCACAATGAGATTTCACTTTCAAAACAGAACTTCTGATTCCAAACCCACTCCTTTGCAGACTCTCCATCTCCAAAATGGCAACCCCATCTTCCTGGTTGTTCAAATCCCATGCCTTGAAGGCATTCTGTATTCCTCGCTTTCTCTCACTCGTTACCCACCGCTGTTTTCAAAATATATCTCCTACTGGTTCTGTTTGTCTGGAGAACTGTGACTAGTACAGGAGTCTCCATCAGAGCACCCAACAGCCTCCAATTGCACAACCTGCACAGCTTTGTGGGGAGCAGTGAGCAGAGAGCAGGCCCTGGGCCAACTGAAAGCGCTTGCTGATGGGCTCACACCCAGGCTGGGTGGGGCTGAGTGGGACAAATAGAACCTCTGCAGGCACAGGTTCTGGCCAACTAGTGGCCCCAGAACTCTGCCATATGGCTCCCTGGGAAGACCGTGGTAAAGAGGAGCAGTCAGGAGGGCTGGGGCCTGGCCTGGGTAGGACCCTGGTGAGGGGGAGGGGCTGCTCTAGGTTTGGAGGTCAGGAGTGCTAGGAGTGTGGAAGGGAACAGTGTCACCTCCAGGACCCAACATTTTCTGCTGCTCAAAGCAGGTGTTTCACCACTCTCAGGATGTGTCCTCTCTTCCCGGTTCACCAGCCATGTAAATTTGAACAAAAATCTTATTTCTGTGGGGCTCGGCTTCCTCAAGGGGATGTTGAGATCACTCTCCCTCAGGGACGCAAGCTTGCAGGCTGGCCTCTTGGGCACTGGGTTGTGAGCTTTCAGCAGGTGTTTCCTCCCCAAACGCTTCTATGAGGACAAAGTAAGAGCCACAATTGCCACCATGGGACCATTTCCCTAACTGATGCCGCAAACCCAAATAAGTTTGGGATGGTAGTGGCTGGAACTGGGTGTGCAATGACCCCACCCCTGGGCGGGTGGAGGAGGATACTGCTTAGACCCCAAAGAACCCTAGGAGCTGTGGCTGCACAATTCAGGAAGCAGAGCTTTGTATGTCTGCACCATGTCCTGGGCTCCTGTTCTGCTGGCGCTCCTCACCCACTGCACAGGTGAGAACACCCTAGAGCTTGCAGCCTCTGACCCCTTCCTTTGCCCTGCCCTGCCCCAGGGGTCCATGTTTTTCTGTGTACCCAGGTTGTATCCCTCAGCCAGTGCTGAATCAGCCACCTTCTGTGTCCTCGTCCCTCGGAACCACAATCCAGCTGGCCTGCACCTTGAGCAGCGACCATGATGTCAGCATTTATAGCATCTACTGGTACCAGCAGAGGCCCGGTCACGCTCCAAGATTCTTGCTGAGATATTCCTCCTCTGCAGACAAGAAACTGGGCCCCAAGGTCCCCCCACGCTTCTCTGGATCTAAAGATGTGGCCAAGAACACAGGGTATTTGAGCATCTCTGAGCTGCAGCCTGAGGATGAGGCTATATATTTCTGTGCTGTGGGCATCCAGGGCTTGGAGAACGAGAAGATGGAAATGGAGAGGGAGGAAGAAACGGAGCCTGCTGCTTCAGTGTCCCAGGCACCCCAGGACACGCTTACCATGAACTAAAGACTGAAGGGGTGTGCATACCCATGGAGAGGGCGAGGAGGAGGGTGGGCCTTGGGTTGTGCAGAGCGAAGGAGATGCTCCTTGTCCAGCTAGGCCCTGTTGGAGACTAGATTGGGGGATTAAAGCTGCTTGTGTCTTGGGAAGTTGTTTGGTCTGACTGGTGTGCTGAATTATAACAAGGAGGCCCCAGCTGTTCTGTGTAAGGTCAAAATGGGTAGGAACTACCCAAGGACCAACGTAAGGCAAAGGTCCCAAGAGACTAACTGGACCTGGTCTGCCTGGCTGGAGCCTCTGCTCTTGTGGGTTATGGGGGCAGGGGACTGACATACGCATCTTGAGGGGACACTCTGGCCAAGAACAGGGCCCTCTGCTATCACCTGATTATTCACAGAAGCTGCCTTTACTGGGCCTCTGGGAGGAGAATGAGTGCTGAGTGATAGGTATAGAGCAGGTGCTCCATCGCGGTACTATTGACATTTGGGGCCAGACAGTTCTTTGTTGGGGGCTGTCCTGTGCATTGTAGGATGTTGAGCAGCATCCCTGGACTCTTGCCACTAAATTCCAGTACCTGTGCCTTCCCACCCCTTGTTATGACAGCAGAAATGTCTCCAAGCATTTCCAGATGTCCCCAGGGTGGCAAAATCACCCCAATTGAGGTCTAGCTGAGGCCAACACATGTACTCTTCTTTTTTTAATTTAATTTAACTTTTTTTATTCCTCACCCTAGGATACTTTTTTATTTATCATCAGATAGAGTGGGAGGGAGGGAGAGAGAGAGAGAGAAACATTGATGTGATAGAGCCACATTGACTGGTTGCCTTCCCCATGACCCAAACAGGGCCGGGGATGAACCACAGCCGAGGTACGTGCCCTTGACCAGAACTGAACCCATGACTCATTGGTCCATGGGCCGACACTCTAACAGCTAAGCCAAACCGGCCAGGGCTGTACTCTTCTGACAGGACAGCAGAGCTGGCAATCAGATTTTCTGTGAAGGGCCAGATTGTAAATAATTTTGGCTCTCTGGGCTATATAATCATTCTCTCAGCTACTGAATTCTGTTCTCATAGCATGAAAGCAGCCACAGAAAATACATGAACAAATGCGCACGTTCGTTCCTATTCAGCTTCATTCATAGAAGCAGATGGAGCTGAGCTAGATATGGCCTTTGGGCCAGTTTGCCAACTCTTGCTCCAGAGAAGCACCCCAGTTCCTGCCTCCAGGTTTCAACCAAGCCATGCTTGGTGCATTGATCAAGGTCATCCTCAAATCCTCCTACCTGATGATCCCAGGGATACTAAACCTCTGGACCCACAGAAAGACCTGGAGGTAGGAGGGGTGTGGTATCACCAATTAGCTTGTTAGGTGAAGAGGGAACAGGTGAATTCCTGTAACGCTGGCCCATAGCACAGTACCCTGTACCCCTGGGTGGTGGGTCACACTATGTACAGAGAGGTGCCAGGAAAACCATCTCCTTCATTACCCCAAATTGGCTGAGAACATCCACTTGTCATGGCTAAAAAGACCTAGGAGGATTCCCCCCACAAAAGGCAGGCATGTGTGCCTGAGTCTCTTTTGTAAAACAATGGTCTCACCTCATAACACATTTCAGGTACCTTTGAGCTCTCACTTGATCTGTTGCCTTCCATTTGTGCCCTGAGCAGGGATCAAACCCACAACTTTTTGGTGCACAGGATGACACTCCAACCATCCAAGCCACCTGGCCAGGCCCAGGCCCATGTTTTTAAAGGCCAGCTAGGTGGTCCCAAAGGAACTCTGTCTTCTGCCTGTAACCTGCAGTTCTCCTGCTTTCATCCTTCGTGATTCTGAGAATCCATGCTATGACAATAAACCAGGCAGAAGTGAGGCTGGGATCCTCCATTGTCCTGCCCTTCCAGATTGCTGGAAGGTGAGACCGGGGCCTCGGGCCAGAGTGTGAGTCTTAGCTCTGGTCAGCCTTGGAAGGCTCAGTTGAATTCTAGGCCAACATTTCCAATGTTGTATGTAAAGAGTTTATTAATAGCACCCATTAATTTATATAAAGTGCTTATTTGGGCTTAACTGTAATGGGTGCTCAACAAAATAACAGTGTTATTACTTCTTCATCAGTCCCCAGGCCTGGCCTCTTCCCTTGCCCACTCCCTTCCTTTAGTCTGAGGCATTTCTCACCTTGCTTAGTCTCTAGCCGCCTGTGACTTCCTCTGCTGCAGCCTGTACCACCGCCTCCCCCACTTCTCATCCTCATTACTCCTGGATCCAGCCTTGCCTGCATTCCTTCTCTCTAATCTTGGATTGTCTCCCACTCTCAAAAGCATGTTTGCAAGCCATTTCTGTCATTTCCAGTTTTCTGGTAGCTACATTTTTTTAAAGGTAAAAAGAAACAGGTGAAATTATTATTATTTTTCTTGTTAATCCTCACGCAACTATATTTTTCCATTGATTTTTAGATAGAGTAGAAGGGGGAGAGAGAGAGAAAGAGAGAAACATCAATTGGTTGCCTCCTGCACGACCCCAACTGAGGCTGGGGATAGAACCTGCAACCCAGGTACATGCCCTTCATCAGGAATTGAACCTGTGATCCTTCAGTCCTAAGGCTGATGCTCTAACTGCTGAGCCAAACTGGCCAGACAGGTGAAATGATTTTCAACCCAATATATCCCATATATTATCATTTCAACCTGCAATCAGTATAAAAATTAGTTACAATATAGTTTTTAACCCTTTTTTTAAAAACATTTTTTCAAAATCCTCACCTGAGGATATTTTCCCCTTTGCTTTCAGACAGAGTGGGAGGGAAAAATAGAGAGAGAGAGAAACATCATGTGAGATAAACACATCGATTGGTTGCCTCTCACATGACACCGACCAGGGCCTGGACCGAACCGCAACCGAGGTACGTGTCCTTGATCAGAATTGAACCCGCAACTCTTTGGTCCCCGGGCCAATGCTTTAACTTCTGAGCAGGGCTAAACTCTTTTTTCAAATCTTCCAAATTCAGTGTGTTTTTAATACTTGTGGTTCGTCTCAATTTAGACCAGCCATGTTCCAAGTGAGCAACAGCTACCTATGGCTTGTGACAGGTTGAAGGGAGAAAATTCAGATTCTTTATCATGATGCAGCCTTTGGAGATGACCCAGATTCTGTCCCAAGTCCCATGTCCTTTACGCTCCCCTCACTGTCTGTTTGTGTCATATTAAGTCATCTACAGTTGATCTGACACCTGCTTCTCTTGGTTGGCTCCAAACCTTTGCCCAAGATATTTACTTCCTGTCCCTTGTCAGTGACCTCCAGCTGCCTGCAGGGACTTAGGGTTCCATAATTATCTCAAATCTCACTCCTTGGGCAAGATTTCCCTGACCTGTTTATACAGTTACTGACTTCCTGCGATGTGCAAACATATGTTTTCCTAACTATATTTAGCACCTACCACACAGCTCTAAATTTATGTTGCAAGTCTCTCTCCTCCACTAATCTGCAAATTCTCAGTGGGTCAGATCTATTTCAACTCATTTTGTGTGTCATAAACACTAGATGATAGTAGAGTTGGGTGAGTAGATAAATACGTAAATTAATGCATAACTGAATGAATTCTTGGGTTCCAAAGATCCTGCCATTCCAGGATCCTGTTTGATGGCTAGGGTCACTGTGCTTCCCTAAGAAGGGAAAGCTCTGTCACATCAGTGACTGGCCACATTCCCCCCCCACACACACACACCTTTTAATGCTTGGCATATGACACAAGTGGTTATATTCAGCACCAGGAATGGTGTGGAACGGAAAAGCTTGAAATAGGCCAATGCAGGGAAAGGAACACTTGGGACACTCTCTGAATCAGTAATGGAGAAGAATGATGTGGGAGAAGGTGGGGTTCCCAGACTGTTGGGATCTGCTACCTGGTACAGCAAAGAACTCCCACCCCACACCCCAAGGTTTCAACAGGGCTCCTGACTGTGTTACAGAACAAAGGTGTTGGGTGCTAAGAGCTGTGGTGTGTGCATAGAAATGCTTGATGGAGCTCCCAAGAGTGACACAGAAACACAGAACCCAGTTGGCTTGAGCATGTCACCAGTGGTACTGAAGATGAGGGTCCCAAATATTCTGACCTGAGTTAGACCCTGAGACCCTGGAAGAGAGGATCTGAGGAAGACCCAGGAGGATGGAGTGTGCCAATCAGATAGAGTGAAATGCAAGGGCTCCCTGCACCTACAGAAGACCAGTGTGGCTGTGACATGATCTGGCAAGGTGAGCTATGGGAGATGGCCCCACATAGAGAGGGAGGGTGGAAATAACATGTGGAGGTCCTTTAGGAAACAAAGGGCTCTTATATTTCTTTCTATGTTTCATTTTGTGATGTATGCACAACACTCAAATCCATCGGTTCATTGTGGGATGCAAAGTGCAGATATTTTCATTCTAGCATTTCTTCTTCACTCATTCACTAGAAAACTTGTACAAAGAAAACTTCCACTCATCAATGATTTAGTCACCTAGGGACTGCTCCTACAGCAAAGGCAGGATCAGTGTTTGATTTTTCTCCTTTATTTACCAACTATCAAAATAACAAGTCAGCCCTGGCCGGTTTGGCTCAGCGGTTGGAGCGTCGGCCTGCGGTACAGAGAGACCCGGGTTCGGTTCCCGCTAAGGGCACATACCTCGGTTGCAGTTTGTCCCCGGCCCTGGTTGGTCGTGCGGGTAGCAGCCACTCGATGTGTCCCTTCACATCGATGTTTCTCTCTCTCTCTCTTCCTCTCTCTCCCTCCCGCTCTATCTGAACAAAAAATGGAAAAATGTCCTCGAGTGAGGATAAAAAAATAAATAAATAACAAGTCAGTGTGCCAGTACCACACAACATGAGTTTGTTAGTATCATGAAAAGTTCATGGGTATCAGCATACTTGAGGTATTTAAATCCATGGCAATTATTATAAGTTATTCTATCTTTGGCCAGTACAAGGCCATTGAAATTGGTCTCTAACCAGGAACTTGTTGATATGTCAAAAATAATACATTTAATTTTGTTTTTAGTATTTTAAAAATGTGGGCAAAGACACCTCGACTCCAGCTAACTCTCAAAAGGGTAATGATTTATAACACACTGACTGGAGAAAGAGTACACATGAAGAAAGAGCACTATATTGAGAAAACATTATTTTGCAACCCTCAGTGTGATAATAGTAATGATTAAAGCAAGGATCATAAGTGGGTGCTTAAAACACTGGGTGAGCCCTGGCTAGTTTAGCTTCTTTCTAAACCAACACCTGTTTCCTCCCCTGTCACGAGTACGCCCCAGGTCTGGTCAGAAGAGAAGCCCCAGCCCCAGCCCCAGTCCCACACCGCTGAACTCAGGTGATTCCTGGTCCACTGGACACAGCAGGAGCAGGTGTGCCTCACACAAGGCCCCAGGGACAGGAGCAGGCTGGCAGCTGTGGTGTGGGGCAGTTGAACTCTGGATCCCAACCACAGCACGACAGTTGGTAGATGTCCCGCTGGGAGAGACCCCAGGAGCAATAGCCATGGCCCTGGAGAGGGTGGGGCACTGGGGGCAGGGACCAGAGAAGGCCCAGGGAGATGACAGGGCCATGGCCCAGATGCACTGAGACAGCCACGGCTAGTGAGAGGGACTAAGGGGACCTGCCCACATAATCCTCCCCCCTGGAAGCTTACACCAGCAGGCCAGCCAGAGGTGCCTTTGACCCTGAGCTCAGATGAGGCCCAGGATAGGACAGGTGGGCCATGAGGCCCGCAGGGGGCAGAGCCCTGGCCTCAGGCAGTGCTGGTCCCTGATGCTGCTGGGCCTGGCCTTGGGCACCCATGGCCTGCTGCTCTCTACCACAGCACCTCGGAGCAGGGCTCCCAGCTCTGGAGCCCCGACAAGAAGCAGGCCTTGGAGCCTGTGGGAAAGGTAAGGGGCTGAGTGAGTCACGTGGGGGATGTGAGGGTCTCTGCAGCCCAAACTGGGAGTGGGGGACAGAGAGTGGCAGTGAGGGGAAGGGGAGAGAAGGGAGGGTCAGCCAGAGAGCAGGGGCCTGGGAAGACACTGGATTTATTTAAAAAGTTGACATTTGTTCAGTGTGGATTGGTTTGCACTGATTTTTACTTTTTAATATTGTATTAAAATATTATTTATCTTAATTACTGAGTTTTGGATCCCCTTAAATTTTGTACTCAAGACTAGAGCCTCGTCCTGGTCTTCTGGGTGGGGCAGAACCAGGGGCAGGATGGCCCTGTGGGTGGTGAGTGCTGTTATTCCAGGGTGCCCAGGCCTCCTTCTCTTAGCTGACGAGTCACATCCTCACTCTTCCCCTCGCTGAGTAGGTACCAGACCCTGGAGCATGAGGGCACAAGCTCTGGCTGGTGCCTTGTGGTGGGAGGCACCTTCCCTTACATCTTTGGCTCTTGGGTTTGATTCCCAGTCAAGGGCATGTACCTGGGTTGCAGGTTTGATCCCTGGCCCTGGATGGGGTCGTGTGGAAGGCAACCTATTCATGTGTCTCTTTCACATCAATGTTTCTCTCTCTCTCTCTCTCTCCCTCCCGCCCTCCCTCCTTCCCTTCCTTCCACTCTATCTAAAAATCAATGAAAAAATATCCTCAGGTGAGGATTAATAAATAGATAAATAAATACAAATTAAAAATTGAAGCAAAAAAATCTTATATTTACATCACAAAGACAACCACAGCTGACTGGGCCAACTTCTAAGGTGAAAATGCAGAGATGCTTACATCCAATAAGCCCCAGTGCAACGCCACATTCTCGTATGAGTTGCAGGTTAACATCAGCAAAGCAAAATCTGAGGCTTCTTGAGGTTTTGGAATCTTGGAGGGTGGTTTTGTTGTTTCTCAATAATTTTGAGCCTGTTTTTAACTTTAAAAAGGAAGATTTAGATTCTGTATCTAAGAACACAGGTTTCCAGCCTGGGGGTGAGCAGGGTTGAGAACAGTCATGATCACGTGTAATAAGATGAAGAGAGAAAAAGAACTGGGGTGGGAGAAAAGTGTCCAGATTCATTTGGATGTGGTGAGTTTGAGATTCCTGTTGGCCATCCAGCTGGAAATTGAGGCCATTTAGGCAGCGCGGAGGAGAAGGCTTGGAGCTGGAACAGACTTGAGCCTCACCATCCGGGCAGTAGGGGGAATCCACAGGGTGAGAAGATGGCAAAGAATGGGTCAGTTGCCGTGTATGGGCCGCAGAGAAAGGGAAGCCAGTGGAGGAAGGGAGTGGGAAGTCTCAGATGCCCAGGGCAAGAGAGTCACTGGAAAGAGGAACCCGCTCCGTGTCACATCCAGCAAAACCATAAGGTACAGCAGGAACTGGGGAGGGAATCTCGGATTTGACAGGGAGGAGGGACTTGTTGGTCCTAACTGAGAGGTTTTAGGGAGAGATGGAGGTGAAAACTGGGAGCCCTACCATGTCTCAGCACATGAAACTGTTACTGGCAGACAGTTGCTTGGGAGCCGTTGTTAAATAGGTGAATGGATGCTGGATGGATGGAGGATGGGTAGATGGATGGATGGAGGGATGGATAGATGAACAGAAAGATAGTGGTCTAAGAGCTCAGAGAAGGCTTCATAAAGAGAACAGCATTGTGTCCTGATGTGGGGAGATAAAGGAGAAGGGGTTCTCCACGTGGGAGCACTGTAAGTCATGAATACCTCAATGTCCACGGCTGGCCAGTGGGAAACTGGGGGGAAGGAACCCTCAGAGGTCCTCAAATGAGGCCAGGAGAGATCAGGCAGATCCAAGCAAGTTCAGGACTCATTCTGCCACACCACACAGCCATCTGAGGGGACACGGCACTCAGTGTCTCCATCGGCACTAAGGATTCGGTGGTGACCAGGACGGCCTCAGGGGTCACACAGTGGGTGACTCCAAAGCATAGGTGGTGCCTGCCTCAGAAAGGGGGCCAGGCACAGGGACACCCCGGTGCCTTTTGGGGCCTGGCTGCCAACCCGCCCCACCCCAGCACTCAGCCTTGCCTGCTGTAGCCCTGTGCCCATCGTGCCCGGCAGGTTCCTGCTCCAAACTGACAGTCGGGGGACACGCCCCAGGTGCTGGCCCGGCGGCATTTGGTCAGAGCCTCAGTCACCATGGTATGTCTTCAGCAGCGGGACCCAGCTCACCGTCCTGGGTAAGTGGCTCTCACCACCTTTCCCATCGTGTCCCACCCCTCTGCTGTCTTGGGAAAGTCACTCTCCTCTCTCTGGGGGCTGCTTCCCTCTGTCCTCCAGCCTTGCAGACCGACCCCACTTTCTCCATGGGGTCTGGGGAAGGCAAGTTGGCCTCAGGGTAACCAGTAGGAAGGACCCAGCAGCAGGAGTAGCCACCTCCAGAGACTGACAGTTTGATGTGGCTGGGTCCGAGGCCTGGGCTGGGGGTTTGGCCCAGGAACAGGGCTCCTTTCTCTCTTCCAGGACAGATGCTCGCGAAGGGACCAGAGGCTGTTCTGACTGCCTCTGGCCCTGAAGACAGTGTTGGGCTCCTGAGGTCCGGGCTGATGCTCCAAGCTGGGAGAGCCAGTCAGAAGGCCAGGGGGAGGGCTGGGGCTATGACCCCAACCTCCAGGGACACAGGGTCAACCTGAGGGGAGGCCCGAGGAGGAAAGAGAGAGAGGTGCTGCTCCCTCTAAGCTGAAGCCTCTGCTGGGCTGTGAGGTGCCAGAGGGTAAAGTGGCCAGAAGCCCAGGCCTCCCAGGACGGCAGTCAGAAAGGAGCAGACCCTGTGGGGCACGGATTCATCTGTCCCTGGAACCCCATAACCCCTGTCCAAGGGTGGCCACCCACCTTCCTCAAGGGTGCATTAGACTCAGGAGATGACCACGTGGGGGGCTCAAAGCTACACAGCTGCTCCACGAAGTCAGAAGTTGTCAGAGCTGTGGGGCCATGGAGTCCATCATCTGGAAGAGCGGCACCAAAAATGCAGCCGAGGTGAAGGGTCCTGGGGTCAGGGCATGAGAGACGGAGGCAGGCAGAGCCATGAGGAGCCCCCGGGCTTTGGCTCCAGCCCTCACTGGAGAGCTGAGGCCAGGCTGGGGCCAACCTGGGTGCCCAAGGGTGAAAGGGGGCTCCAGGCCCCATTGTGTGCTGGGCTCAGGCTTGGGGCCTCCTCACACACCATCAGGCTGGGTGGGGAACCCCAGATCACAGAAGAAGCACTGGGCGCCGGAAGATTGAAGTGAGGTGGGGACCTGACGCTGGGCTGAGGGCTCAGGCGGTCAGGACCAGACTCTGCACTCAGACTCTGGAGACCAAGAGGGAGGACAGCCTTCCCTGGTTACAGTTGGGGAAACTGAGGCTACAGATGGAGGGGCTCGACCAGGTCACCTGGGAGAGGTGACTTAGAAGCGCTTCTGGGAGGGTGGGGGCTGTCTGCTGTCCAGGGGCTGAGTGGAAAGTAGGAGACAAGGAAGGAGGGTCCCCTGATGAACAAACATGGACACCATAGGACCGGCCACAGAGGCTATAGATTAGTAGGGGGGCTGCCCCCAAACCCAGACTCTCCCTCTGTGTCTCACATCCCCTCCTCTGTCCACACAGGTCAGCCCAAGTCCGCGCCCTCGATCACTCTATTCCTGCCATCCCCTGGGGAGCTCAGCACCAATAAGGCTACACTGGTGTGTCTCATCAGTGACTTCTACCCCGGCAGCATGACGGTGGCCTGGAAGGCCAATGGCAACACTGTCACCCAGGGCGTGGAGACCACCAAGCCCTCGAAACAGAGCAACAACAAGTACGCGGCCAGCAGCTACCTGAGCCTGACGCGTGATCAGTGGAGCTCCACCAGCAGATACAGCTGCCAGGTCACGCACGAGGGGAGCACCGTGGAGAAGACAGTGGTCCCTGCAGAGTGTTCCTAAGACCTTGAGCCCCCCATCCTTGGGGGCTGGAGCCTCAGGATCTCTGGGAGAGTCTCCCCTCCCACCTTAGTTGTCCCCAGCCTTGCTCCCTGCATACAATCAATTCTCAAAATGTTCTCCTTGTCAATCAGAAATCATGCTCTCTGCTCATTCTTTTTCTTGTTTCATATTTAATTTGTGAGCTCTCCTGGTTCTCAGAGTGGGGCGGGAAAATCCTTGGTACCCAGCAGGAAACTTTCCTGGGGCACCTCCCAGGAACCTAGCTAGTACACAAGGAGTCTGGTCACCATTCAACCTCTCTGCCCTCTCCTTCCCCTGGTTCCTCCTCCAGCCCACTATGTCCCTCCTTCCTGGTCAGAGCTGGCCATGAGCAGTGACCTTCAGATAGGCCCTCCCTCCCTGTCCTGATCGAGACACCCTCTGTTCCTGGCCCTTGCCCTCTGGAATGCCCCGCTCCCTCCATGCTCAGCTCAGCTCCTGCCCACCCTCACCCCCTCCCTGTCACTCCCTCAGGCTAGACCACCCATGGGGTCCAGGACGCTCCAGTGGAATCCGTTTTAAAGGCTCTTAAACCTGGGGCCCACCTTGATTCCTCACCCAGTGTCAGATTCAGAGGTATAAAAGAAGTAGGAGGAACACAAGAAGGAAACTGTCCTACCAAACGCCTGCCTGGAGGCTCAGATACTTGACACAAATAAGCTCTGAGCTCCCCAGGAACCAATGCAAGGAGAGAAAGAGGTGCCTCATAATCTCTCTGAGATTAGACAAAGCCTTTGCTGGAGGGAAATTGGTGTCTCCGACATCTTGTACCACAATTAAAAGTGGGGGTGACTTTTCCAGATACCTTGGCACTGATGGGAATCAGGCTCTGATACACCCACAGGTGACTGCCCAGCAGCCTCAGGACATGGCAATGATCACGAGCTGGCTACAGTTACCACTGCACAGGGAGCCTTCCATGTTACTGTCTTCATTCCCACCAGGTCACCACCACTGGGGGAAGGGGTGTTACATAGTAAAAGTCCCCTGATTTGCCTCAGGGTGGCCCAGCCAGGAAAGCTCCTGCCTCTGGACCAAGGGTGGACTCACAAAATCATACCACCCTGCATCCATCACACACCCAAGGCCAGTCCACCTCTGCCTGATGCCCCCTTGGGTGTCCCGGGACCCCTGAGCTGCTCCCCCACTCACTCCCGCCTCTGCCCCACGGGAGCAAAGGGAGGCGGGATACACTCAGGTATGTGGCCTGGAAAGCCACCTGACATCTTTTGGGGGGGCATTAATTATTGGGAACCATGTCCTTCTGATCCTGGATGTCAGGAAGAAAACCAGGTCCTGTAAGGAGACTGTGAGGCTACGAGAATGAGGGGTGTCACCCCAGCCCTCTATGCTGGGTCTCTGGACTCTGGCTTTTCCACGACACTTTGAGAGGAGGGTTTCGACGGGGATCGGGGCAGTGGCAACAGGTCATGTGTGTGTCACCATGGGTAGGAGACCGTGGAGGGACCATGCTGAGTCCTGGGTGAGCCTCTCCCTTGGCTTCTGCGTTAGTTTCCTGGGGCTGATGTAACGAAATCACAGCAAAAACTAAGTGGCTCAAACAACATGCATTTATTTTCTCTCCTACGGGCCTGGAAATCAGAAGTCTGAAATGAGTCCTACAGCCTAAAATCAGGGTGTCAGCAGGGACACACTCCTTCTGGAGGCTCAGGAGAGAATCAGTCCCTTGCCTTTTCAGCTTCTAGAGCCCCCCGTCCCTGCAGTCCTTGGCCCATGGCCCCTCCCTCCATCATCAACGCCTCTCACCCTAGCATCTCCACATCTCTCTTCCTTTCTCTCTTCATCCATTGCCAGTAAAATTATATCTATTCTCGGGTGACATGATATGATTTATAGAAAATTCTAAAGAATCTACACAAAAAATCTATTAAAGCAAATAAACAAATTTGTCAAAGTTGCAGGATACAAGACCAATACAAAAATTAGGTATAAATGTAACCAAGGAGGTGTAAACTTATGCACTAAAAACTACAAATATTTCTGAAAGAAATTAAAGAAGACCTAAATGAATGGTAAGATATCCCACCTGTTTATGGATTGCAAGACTGACTATTGTCAAGACGGCAATAATCCCCAGTTATCTACAGATTTAACACAACCTCCATCAAAATCCCAAGGGCCTTTTCCATTACAGGAATGCAAAAACTGATCCAAAATTAAATGGAAATCCAAGAAACCCCAAACAGCCAGAAAACATCTTCCAAAAGAACAAAGGACCCACACTTCTCAATTTCAAAACTTACTAAAAGCTACAGTAACCAACACAGGGTAGTACTGGCCTAAGGACAGGCATATGGATCAACGCTATAGACTTGAGAGTCCAGGAATCAAACCATACATTTACGACCAACTGATTTTTTAAACAATTATTTTTAGAGAAGTTTAGGTTCAAAGAAAAATTGAGAGGGATTTGCAGAGAGTTCCCATATGCCCCCTGCCAACACACATGCCCAGCCTCCCTATTACCAATCTCCCTCACAGAGGGGTACATTTGTTACAACTGATGGACAGCACGTTTAAGGACACATCATTATCACCTGAAGTCCATGGTTTACATACAGTTCAATCTTTTTGTTTTTGTTTTTGTTAATCGTCACCTAAGGATATTTTTCCATTAATTTTTAGATAGAGTGAAAGGGAGGGATGGAAGGAGAAGAAAGAGAGAGAGACACACTGATTGACTGGTTGCCTCTCACATGCAACCAGATTGGGGATGGAACCAGGAGCCCAGGTATGTGCCCTGACCGGGAATCAAACCCCACAACCTTCTGATGTACTGGACGACACTCCAACCAACTGAGCCACCTGGCCAGTGCCTGTACCACTTTTTAGAACTATTATTATGCAGAATGTAGAAGAAGTTATTGGCATGATTGTTGCATATAGTTAAACTGAGAGTAATTCTTCTGTGAACCTGAATTAATTGCCTGGTGATTAATTTAGAAAAGTGGTATAAACTTGTATGTGAACATTTTTTAATATGCCTTAATTTAGAAACTGAAAACTCCCTGGATACTTCATTCTAAGTGTGTCCTCACTGGCACCATGGGCCCATTGCCCGGCGTCCTGGGAGAGAATATATACCTAGGATGGAGTACAATTTCTGTATAGAGGGTTCTTGGGATACAACTGTCTGTTAGGAGGCTTTCCAAATCTAAAATGTGTGCCATACTCTGGTTCTTGAAAGTAAGGCTCCAGAGCTCCTGGTGGCTTTTAATTAGCTATCTGGTGGTTAAGATGAAGGGCTAGCATATACTTGTAAGACATTTTAGACTATGAGGATACAGCACCAGTTATGTTTCAGTGAGTTCTCTTTTTCTTTAAGATGCTGGTTCCTAGGAATCTCTTTCTGCAAGTGGTGAGCACGTGTTAACGTTTTGATCTCTTTGGAACAGGCGTAGGAAAATCATCAACAGTGCTGATGCATCTGGCCCCAGAACATTTTGGGAAAATATTCATGCTTGCCACCTGTTACATTTGTACTTATGAGGTCACAGTTTGGCTATATGGAAGTTATTAGGAACATTTGTAATCTGTTTGTGTTCATAATGAAGAATGCTGTAGTTACATTTTCCTAAAGTTAACATCAAGCAATCAACCCTGAGTAGAGCGCAGAAAACATGTTAGGCGTACACAGACCCAACGTGAGGCCAGTGTCATCACTGTGCGAGGCACCCACTGGAAGAATTCTTGCATGCTATTTGGGAACATAATTTCAGTGAGAAATCTACCATTGTCAGATTGTTCTTTTCTTCTTTGTTTTGTTTTTGTTTTTTAATTTATTTTTGTTACAGATGTTTCTCCTTTTCCCCCCATTGACACCCTCCTCCCCATCCCCACCCTACCCCCACCCCATCCCCAGCTTTGTTGTCTCTGTTCATTGGTTATGTATACATGCATATAAGTTCTGTGGGTTATCTCTTCCCTCCCCCATTCTTTTCTCCTTTGGAACAGACTTAAGAGAGTTGATTCACAGAATTTTTCATTCTTTTTGTTCATTTCTAATTTCAATAAGTCAAAGGTGTCTTCAGGCACTCCCGGTAACAGATGTGTAGGTCAAGTTGTCAAAAATGGGCTTTTTAGAAACTCAACTCTTTAGATATTATATCTGCTTTGTCAGGTTAAATATTTGTCCCTAAAGGGTTTGAGATGTACATCTCTCACTTAGTATTTTTTTTTTTTATCCTCACCCGAGGACATTTTTCCATTTTTTGTTCAGACAGAGCGGGAGGGAGAGAGAGGAAGAGAGAGAGAGAGAAACATCGATGTGAAGGGACACATTGAGTGGCTGCCACCCACACGACCAACCAGGGCCGGGGACAAACTGCAACCGAGGTACGTGCCCTTAGCGGGAACCGAACCCAGGTCTCTCTGTACCGCAGGCCGACGCTCCAACCGCTGAGCCAAACCGGCCAGGGCTCACTTAGTATTTTTTCATAGGCTCCGCAATGTGCAGAAATAAGTACCAGTGTAGCACGAACTTGCGATCCCCAGTGTACTCGCTGCAGTCTTCTTCAACCAGGGTCCTACCACTAACATTGTGACTTCGCTCTGAGACTTTTCCTCTCCTGAGTACTGAAGTGCTCTGAAGCGAACTGACAGAGATGCATTCCATGTCTTAGGCTGCTGCTACTACATGATCAGTTTATCGGCAATTTGAGCCATTTCAAAACCAATAAACTTTCTTTAAAAAAAAAAAATAATAATAATAATAGCCCGACCGGTGTGGCTCAGTGGTTGAGCACCAAGAGGTCGCTGGTTCCATTCCTGGTCAGGGCATATGCCCAGGCTGTGGACCCAATCCCCAGTGGGGGGCATGCAGGAAGCAGCCAATCATCTCTTATTGAGTTTCCATCTCTCTTGCCCTCTCCTTTCCTCTCTCTCTAAAATTCAATAAAGAAAATATAAATAAAAATAAATAAAAAATAATGACAATAACCCTAGGTGGTTTGGCTCAGCGGTTCAATTTCGGTCAAGAGCTCATACATCGTTGTGGTTTGTCCCTGGTTGGGGTCATGCGGGAGGCAGCCACTCGATGT